GAGCTGTTGCTGCAAGACCTTGCAGCTGAAACTACCATCGCACATAACGCTTTCTTGTTCGGTCTTTCCGCTCGCGGTTCCATTCTAGTACATACTCTCAGTGCATCCTTAAGAAGGAACAAAGCCAATGAGGTTAAAGAAGGACACCAAGAGTAGACTGGCTGCAAGAATGCATCCACGCAGGAGGTGTTCTTCTCCTGCGTTTGCGAATTTTCTTGCATTGTAGTTTATGAATCTTCTTGTAATCGGGCTTCATGTAAATCCGAATATAGAAGGTATGGGCACTCTGCAAACAAGTAGGTTCTGATAGTGGTAATTTTAGGTGTCCTCTACTCCTTGCCAAGAGGTACTCGTAGCCAATACTCCTTGCATAGAGGTAGCAAGTCCCTAAACCCTAAACCCTAAACCCGAACAGTCCGTCAAAGCTTCGGGAGGCATGCAGATGGTCTTGCAGAACGAAGGTTGGCTGTGGACGTAAGCCTCTTGATACTTGTTTAGATTCTGTTGATGGACAAGCCCCACATATCCAGAAGAGGGAGAAGACCTTGGTTCCCATTGCACCGAGTACTTGAGGTTTTGTCGAAGGATCTCGTCCGTCAGCAATGTTCTTTTTATTCGAGCTTGCCAACCCCACAGCCTCAACGCTAAACCTTTCATCCTAAACATCCGTGCTTCTTCGGTTACAACTCGGCTTCTGGGGTCGCGAGCTCCAAGTCGGGGAGAAAGCGAAAGCCCAAAGCATGGTAGTTTTTATGGTCAGTGCCATACTCTGCCGTCTGTGGTTGGGAATTCCTTGCAATATAGGGGCCGAGAGAAGTACCTGTACTATTTTGGGGGTTCCTAAGCTCTTTACATCAAGGAGGTGCATTCACCGCGGCCCCTTCTGCAGAAAGATTTTCAGAAGAAGCCCCGACATGCAAGCCACGCGGTTCAAGCCGAAGGCCCGATCCAGCCCCAACCACTGGTTCGTCGCGCTTAAGCACAGGGCCCAATTCTGAAGCCTATTACCTACGAATCCGGAAGTCCGAATGCCTTGATACTTAGTAACCGTAGTGTGCCCTGGTTGTAGAATTCCGACAAACCGGTTTAAACACCGTCTACAACCGTAAAACCAAGAATATAAGTTGATATGGGAGCTTCCGAAAATAGACCTCATTTTGGGGTCCTTGTAATAAGGATCCTACTATTTAGGGTACTATATTAGTTTCTCCTATTTTCGGAAACCCCCCATATGCCTTAAGGAAGGTGTATTGGGCTCGCTGCGGTAAGGCCTACCTCCCAGCATCTTCGGCGCTAGCAACTCAACGCGGCCTTACACGGTGCCTTTAGCTGACTTAGTGTCCCGTATCAAGGTTCAAAGAGAGGGTTCCAAAAAGGTTCCATCAAGGATCACAAAGGGTTCTGTAAGCGTTGAAAAAACGGTTCTATATAAGGGTTCAAGAGGGTTCCAGCAGAGTTCAGGAAGGCTCCATGTTGAAGAGTTCTACGAGGGTTCTATGAGGGTTTCTTCGGCATGGAGGAATGGGTTGCAGTTATAACTACTGTTACTACCATTCTTCCATTCCCTACTAACCAAAGGCAAGAAGAGCTCCTAGGTCTGACTATACCGCTCAACTCGCGGATGTAGCGTGATTCAACAATGCATCCCTGTACCAGGCTACCGGCTAGTTCATGTACTCTATTCTGTCTGATTAAATCCTCATCCCGAACCCATGCTCGAGGCACTAAGTGACTAAGCATTGGCCCCCCTTAAGCCCTTCCTTATCGGGCGCTCAAAGTGGCTCACATGTCCACAACTTCCTCCGGAGATGGGCTCCTGGTCGTCTGGGATCTCCTTGTAGGAAAGTGCATTGACAAGTTTCCGTCCTGTACAACGTCCTGCAGGATAGCACTGTTGCAAGCGAGAGGGCGAATACCAGAGGCGTACTTTTCAACTTCCAACCACCTGATGTTTCTTTTTCGGGGAGGGGAGCAGCGCTGCCAAGGAAAGCGAGGAGATCGCTTCACTCATGGACCAGGTCGGTACATTGCTACGTCGCAAAGCAGTAGTCGTTGTGCTCGTTCTGGTCTGAGGTTGACAGTTTCGCATTTTCACTGCGTCGGGTTTCCAGCGAGTTGGACTACCGAGTCCAGTGCCAGAGCTTTTTCACCTACGGGATCCGGCTTGACCCACCTTGCCCCCAAAGCGTCAACGGCCCTGACAGATGTGGCTCATTCTTTGTGGATGCCTCGTTATGTTCATGCAGGCACGTTCGGCACAAGCACCTGTGAGCATTCGGGCTCGAACCCCTCTCATGATTCTAAAAGGTTTTAAAGTGAGGGACCTGCACGCACAGAAACCTGAAGCTTTACGCCCAGAGTGTCAAAGTAAGCAGCACCAACTCCACTCGCAACGCACCACCAGGAGCCCCGCCGCCGCCACCACCACAACCACCACCACCACAGCCATCGCCAGCGTTGCCATTGTTTGAACCCTAAAGGCCATAAGCCCGCAATTTCCCTGAATCGATGATCATGGTCATGATGATGAGGAGGAGGAGAAGAAAGATGAGGAGCCCGAGCATCAAAATACTACCAACAGCAGTCGCACAATGATCAGCGACATCAGCCCTCCACCCACAAGGCACCAAGACGCAAAAGACAGCTCTTACTCTCATAGTCACGAAGGATCTTTTTCGAGTTTTGTGCAGGCCAGATGTACATGTGGTCGTTGCGATTTTGTCTGACACTACGATGGTTAACCTAGGATCTCTTTTCCTAGGTTAACCGGGACTGTGAGCTGGATCCAAGAAGAGCTTGTCGTTTACGGGGCGCTGGTTAGGCAAACCCGTGCCCCCAGCAACCCTGGCCCCAACCCCCCAAACCCCAAACGAGTACAGCAAAGAAAAGAACAACAGTGCTGCCCCAGATCCTGGACCTTAAACCCTGCAGCGGATAAAAGAAGCAGAAGCAAACACACAGCAACACGGAAACAGAAACACCAACACCGGAGATTCGAAGGAAAGAACCAACACTCGTCATGAAAGCACGCACACGAAGCAACAGTAGCAACGACACTAATTAATTGCCCATCCTCGAGACCTACTATAGTAAGAAGCCCTGAATCCTAAATCCCGATTTCCTAAAGCCTAAACCCTAAATCCTAAAACCCTAAACCCAAGACCCCCAAAACCCTAACCCCAAATCCCAAAAATCCTAAGCCCCAAACCCCTCAATGCCGTCTTAGGATCAGAAGTGAAACTCCGCAGCTGAGTAGGTAACCTTTAACCTTTTTTGGGTTTCTATAAACCTACCATGATTTTAAAACCTTAACCTTTCTTGGGCTAGGGGACTCAGCCCCTACCTTAACCCCAAGTAGCCTACCTTTTTAAGGACTTATATAAAGAAATCATATTAGGGAACCCTAAAGAGGCAGGTTCCTTAGGCTCCAGGTCCCTTAATACATAATATATAATGTATAATACATAATACGTACATAATAAAGAATGTATAATGTAAAAAAAAATAAATAAATAAATATATATATATATATATATATATATATATATCGAATCTAACATCAAAATATCTCTAAGCCACCAAAAAATTACAAAGCTCCAGGCCGGCTTTGCGCTCGTGGAGTCGGGAAGCTGCAGGTCCCGGAATGTTCAGAACATCCTCCTGAAGCGACTTCGCCTGAAAAGCAGGGACTACCCGTAGGCCCGAAAGTAGCTCCTTTTTGGGACTACCTTGTAGAATTCTAAATATGAGCCCCTAAAAGGAAGCATCTTGGGATTTTCCAAAAATTAGGGGCACCTTTTTGGGGTCCTTATGACAAATCCTACTATTTAGGGTACCATATTCGGGTCCCCTATTTTCGGAAACTCCCACTTCGCCTGAAGAGGAGGGACTAGGCTGTCTTTGCGCATGTACAGACTATTCTATGTATCTTATGTAAGTAAGTATGTATGTACGTAGTTCTAGATACAGTTCTAGTGGCCTTTAGATAGGTCAATCAACAGATAGATGTAGAGCTTATGTTTTATGGTTTCGGGCGTATTTCTTGCTTCAGCATCTTGCGGCTAAACGAATTCTTTGTAGACCCTCACATTGAGGCAGCCAAGGCTTAAAAAGAGGGGGCGGTGGAATTAGGACTTTGAGTTTTGGGTTCAGGTTGAGTTCTCACGCAAGCATACGGTTGATGATATAAATCCTGCATGACCCATAGTAAGGAATATACCATAATTCCCATAGTTTAGGGTTCCTAAGGTAATCCAGGATGTATGTCATCAACAGTACCGGCTCAAAAGGGAGGCTGCGGGATGCGACTGGGGAGTTTCAGGTTCAAGGTCTGGGGTGGGGTTGATACGCAAGCATCCCGGCTGAAGAACAGGGTTGAGCTCGAGGGTTTAGGGATGATAGGGTTCACGGTTTAAGAGTCTGGGCTCCAAGAACGGAGTTTGAGTTCAGGACTTAAGTATCCCGGCTGAAAGAAGAGGCTAGGCATCAGAAGGCGTTGGGTTCAGGGTTGGAGGTTTAAGCTTCTTGGCTCAAGGAATGCTTTAGAGTTCGGTTATTAAGATTCTAGGGTGTAGTTCTTACTCAAGCATCTCGGTCCAGCGCAGGGTTCAATATCATGCTTTATGGGTTTATCGTTTTTTCGGATCTCGCGGTGCGGTGTGGAGTTTGGATTCAGGATCTAGGGTGAAGATCTTACTCAGGGGTTGGGGCTTCAGGAGTGGGGATTTGCAAGGTTTGAGGCCTAGGTTCGGGTGTCAGGGCCTTGGGTGCGGCTTTCGGCACAAAGAAGGTTTGCATAGGCTTTTGCAGGGCAGTGGGGGGGCTTCATAGGGTAGTACAAGATACCCATTCGTTGGGGGGAATTGGGGCGTCCAGAACATCCTGCTGAAGTTTTTTTTCGCTGTGCAAGGAAAAGAAGCAGACACTGACAAAACCAGATATGTACAAAACAACCCGTAGATTCCTTTACGGGAGCTATTAATTAAGGGTTTCATGAGGCTTCACGGGGCTTTGGCGGGTTTTAGGGTTGAGGGGGTTCAGGAGTTGGGGCGTGGGCATTCCGATGTGCTAGTCTATGCTAGGGGTTTGGAGTTTGGTGATTGAGGGTTTCCGCTTTAGCGTTTGGCGTTTAGGGGTGTGGGCTTTTGGGGTTTAGGGTTGAGGATTCAGGTACTAGGCTATAGGGTAAATAGGGTTAACGGTCGAGGTTTGGGGATACAGGATTCAGGGTTTTTTAGGAATTTATTAAAGAATTCAAGGAATTTAACGAATTCAAGGAATTTACAGAATTTAAAGAACGTTAATTTTTTCAGGACTTTAAAGAATGTATATGCAATTTAATGTTGGCCAGGATTTCCCGAGGCAGCCTTGAACCTATTTGTGATAATTATCAGATCATCTTACCAACGCATCTTGATATTGGGGCCATCGAGGTTTAGGGCTTTGGGGTCTCAGGTCATCTGTTCTGCTTAGGGCTTAGGTATACGGTGTAGGTCTACAAGATGGAAGGCATTTACAAGCGGTGTTGTCTCATTCAAGTTACTGCGGTACCCTCGAACTCTTGAAACCTTGAGACCCTCAGCACAACCCTCAGCGTAGCCCTTACATAGGCAATTTGGGATACGTAGCTGAAATTGCCGTTTCGGTTCATACACGACACTACAATGAATCTTCTTGTTGGTGCTATCATGCTTATTGTCAGTCTGAAGAGAGAGATTGCGTATCCATCTGTTTGCCTGTCTGCCTGCCTGCCTGTCTGTTTGGCTGTCTTTCTGTTTGTCTATCTCCCTATCTAACTATCTAGCTATCTACCTGCCCACCTACCTATCTCTATCTCATACCTACAGCGATGCCTTTGAAACTAGCACAAAGACACACATTGTCGGAGAGCACTGAGCACAATACCCAGTCAAGTCCCGACCTCTCTCTGCATTGACGAAGGAACTTGACGGACGTTTGCATGGGTACCCTTGGATGGTGGTGTTCAGGCGCCGCTCTGGGTTCGGAGTGAATGCGTGAAGAAAGTCTTAATGCAGGGTTTATGGGTGGGCAGAGATGAGGATTTCGCAGTACACCCGCAGTGAAAACAACTCCCTATTTTATGTTTGTCGGTGGTGCTTTGGGATTGGGACCCCTGTCGTACATCTGGTTCTAGGCAGGGAGGTTATTTGTAGGTCTACACTGCATTGGGTTTGGGCTATTAGGGCTTGGTGCGAAAAGGAGCAGGTAGGCCAGATGTGAGGGCTTGATCTACAGCAGACAGTGCGGTCCAGATAGACTTGCTGGGTCTGGTCGGGGATTAAGGAGTTCACTATACAGGGGATGACCAGGTCGGCGCTAAAGTGGGATGATGCAGGTCTCCCATGGCGGGTTCATAGGTGAACATCGAGCCCTCGAACTACCAGTAGCAAAACTAACGAAACTGGACATCTTGGAGTAACACCCTCAAATTCGAGAAGCCCCCAAGAGCCAACACCCCAAAGCCGAGAAGAACAACAAAACCCTGAAGTACAAACCCCTGAAGTTAAAGCCCCTAAGCAAACAACCCTGAGAACCCGAAAGCGAATTAAAGAATGAGAGACAGTATCCCACAACAACGGAACCGCCCTCAAGAAGGGTTTAGGGTTTTAGCCTATGGGTCTGGGTCTCGGGTTCCCGAGTTTACAGCAGCCGTAGAAAAAATGCACCAACAACCTTCGTCGATTTTTCTGGCCCTCTACTAAACCATTCAAAGCTCTGTAGAAGCCCAAAAGGATTTTGAAAACCAACAAAATGCGATGAAGGGCGATAAAACTTTCTGTAAACCTGTACAGAACCCTTTAAAAGCACTCTGGTTAGTATTGTGAATGTTCTTTGCCCTTATGTAAACAGCCCTTAGCACTAACCCCCCCAGGATGGGCTCTCGCGTACTCGGGGCCCATGAAGGACGGCCTCCTTGAGAATGGCTTCGCAGGCAGTCTGGGATTTAGGGCAAATCTCAAACCCTAAACCAAAAACCCTAAATCCATCCAAATCCTAAGCCTTAAACATTATATATCCTAAATCCTAAGGCGTAAGGTTTGGGTTTTAGAGTTTTTGGGATTTAGGGATCTGTGTGTAAGGTTTAGGCAGTTAGGGTTTTAGGGATTCTGGGTTAGCTAGGGTCTAAGATTCAAGGTTTGGGGCTTAGGGGGTAGGCTGTCGGTTTTGGGCACGAGTTGCGTGCGTTCCTTCACGGACTCTTTTCGGCGTCGACAGTGCGAAAACGTGCTTCTAGGGCTTGGCAGGGCAGTTTCTAGGTTGGTTGTGTCAGGGATTTATAGGCTTGATCACACAGGTTCCCACTAGAAAGTAGATCCCCTAATTTGGGGCCCTATACTACTAAGGGTGCTTTATAGGAAGCCCCATTAAGGGATCTACTTTTGGATCCTCCCGGGGGTCTGGGATAGGGGTGCATGAGTACAGAAGGGCAACTATTCGCAATGCTTGCTGGGCTAAGCCTTCACCCAAGCCCTTCAAGCCTAAATCCCACGCCCCACAGCCTCTGCCCCAAACCCTATAATATAGGCATACACATCCCACAGCCCACAGCCTATGCCCTAAACCCTAGACCCTATATTGCAGGACTATGCTATGCCCTATGCCTTAAACCCTCAACATTAAACCTTAAACCCCATATTACAGGACTATAAATCCCACACCCCAAAGCTAAACCCTAAATTGTCAAAGCCTATGCAGGCTACTCATCTTGGTTCGGCGCTGGCTTTCTGGAGCACCGACCGGGCGTTGGATTCGAGCGACCTGGTGGTTGTTTCGCCTGCCCAGGGAGTCGCGTCAATGAAGGGGCCTTCGGGTTTAGGGGTTTAGGGGTTTGGGTTTAGGGATTTAGGGGTCTTAGGGGTTTATGGGTTTAGGGGTTTAGGGTTTAAAGGGCCTCCATAATGAAAGGTTTGGCGGGGAACCCCACTTGATAGTATGTCTAAATATTCCGACCCCTGCAATATCCCTGAAATTAGGGCCATGCCCAAAACTACTAGGAGCTCAAATGCTATGGTTTGACTAAAAATGTGACCGTAAATTCAAAGGCTTCATCTTCAGGTGCGATTCCGGGCAAGTATTCAAGACCTCTGGATTCGCTAGCTAGGTGAGGGTGTTTGTGCAGTTAGAGAGTTTAGGGATGATCAGGGTTTAGCTGCGCAGTTTCTGGGGTCTGGGCATGTTCTGTCATTCTACTCAGTCAAGCAATCACAAGGATTCCGGCAAGGATGGCAATTTGCAACAACTCTCCAGAATCCCGTAGCAGTCACGGCAGGGTCAGTGACACCAGTCCTTGCCAAAGTGAATCATCGAAATGACTAGACATCCTGCAGCACTCTGAACCCGACGCCCCAAACTAAAAAATGGCAGCCCCCGCCCCCCTTTTCCCGGATAATGATCCTCGTGCACTGCTTCAACACACACCTTAAAAGCACCCGAAATAGCCCGGAGAGCCCAATGTTCCCGAAATATGAGTATCCCTAAACTATAATTACAGGGAACACGATTATTGATTCAGGGTGTACTCCGTCAATCAAAGGTATGGTCTGGCGTCTTTTGGCAACATTTCTGAAGAAAGTGCTCTGAAGGTTTTGAGCAGCAACATGTCGCTTTGCAGGTTGAGGTTCAAGGATTTCGAGGTCTACAAGGGTTCAGGGTTCAAGGCCAAGCATTCCACACTTTTGTAGATTCGGAGTTTGATAGCTTCAGGTTTTCGGGCTTACGGTTTGGCGATGCTTTTTGTTACTTGATGGGGTTTGTCAAGGCCGACGACCAGCATGGCGCAACTCGGCCGTTGAGCTTTCAGCTGGGCTTGGGGTGTAGCGCTGAGGACTTTTGAACGGTTGTCGGACCGATGCTGTAGGTTGTGTTGTGTTCAGGGTTGTTTCTACTTGTGTCGTTGTTTCGACTGACAGCCTTAATTGCTAAGCCCCTGAAGTTCAAAGTGACGTGAAATTGCTGATCCTTTCCAGTTCATGCACCGGCCGGACTGTGCAAGGGAAGGAGTGCTTCTGCGCAAGCCCGAAAGCACAGCGGGAGGTGTCACTGTTTGTTTGGGAGGGCCCCCCGACGTGTGGCTGAAACCACGAGCCCGAAACCAAGGGGAAAGGTCAACCTCACCTCCCCCCCCCCCACACCCGACGTCTAAACGCCTGGGCTTAAACCTGAAACCCAGAACCTCCAACTCTAAACTCTCAACCGTAAACCCAAGATCCGAACCTCCAAAATCAACACCTTACCCCTCAAATCCATTGCTTTGAGGAATTGGTTTTTCCAGTGGACGTTCTGCTCTGCCGCCGCAACGATTGTGACTGTTAGAAACAAAAGATGAAGCTGCAGGTGAGTAGCCTTCAACCTTGTTGATTTCAGTTTACCACCACCCCTAAAACTTCCAAAAGGTTAATCTTTAGTTCCCACCAAGATACTGGACAAGCAAGTTAAAAGCACCCACGGGATCTCTGTTGCCCAGTTGATGGTTTATCGGGATTCGATGTGGGGTTAGGGGTTTCGGGCCTTTGTGATTTTCTTTTGGAAAGAGGGATTGTTTGGGTGTACCTTTTCCGGGAAAAAGGCTAGATCGCATCATATCTCTGCGTTGCAGTACCCTGCTCTATACGGCTGTGTTGTAGTGAACAATGACTACTAACTCGACCCGTGTCACGGCCTCCACTACTACTACTACTACTAGTACTACTAGTACTACTACTACTACTACTACTACTACTACTGCTGCCACTCCTGAAAGGACTCCTGACCCCCAAAAGCTCAACCCTAAGTCCTTCTTGCTCGGAACCCCAAAGCATTAAGAACACTTGAAGCCCGGTTTCTAGCGAGGAGTCGAACACAGACTATCCTTGTTTCGGTTCCTTGTCATGATTTCTTTATTAAGATCCTCAACAATGCAGGTTCTCTTTGGCCTAGGAGTCGAACACATGCCGCACTCCTGTAAAGCTTTTTTTGTAAATCTTTCTCAGAAATCAGAATCTTGAGTGCTAATGATTAATGGTAACGATGTAAGATACCAGAATCGTTAATGACAAGGACAACGACGGAATACCTTGATGACTGCCAAAAGAGGAAGATGAGCAGCAGCGTTGTCGTAGTCAGAGCAACCGTAATCACAAGTGAAGCCATAACGCAATCGTAACTAGCTGCTACAATTGTTCAGGGGCCACGCGCAACCTCGTAGCACAAGCCTAAAGCCAAGTCAGCCCTAAACACAAGCCTGAACCCTATGCAAGGTGAGCGGCGGCGTTGCCGAGCGCGTAAACTTTGCCGGCTACTGTGGCCTGGCTCATCTCTTCTGAAACTTGTTCCCTTACTATGAGGTTCCTTTATAGGGCTTTATAGCATGTGTATCCTATACATGGGTTTTGGCGGGTCAAGTGGAGGGTTGAAAGAAGGAAAACAGGGGCCTCATTGAATTATGAGGTGTTTGATGCGATGATTGGGGTGTACTCCTCTAATGCCAGGATCCTGGAGCCCCCACACTCCAAGGAGACTGCCGTCCTGGGTCTAACTGCCACAAGCAAGGTAAAAGCTGAAGCCCTTGAAACAACACCTCACACTGAACCAGCGCCTAAGTCTGTAAGCCCTATATCCTTAAACCCCACCGAAGCCCCAAAACCAAAAAGCTCTAAACGTGACGAACCCTTGTAGAACCCACTTGGAGGCCCTGTAGAGCCCAACAGATGCCTTGAAGAAAGCCTTGGAACATCCTGCCAGGCCTCTTCTCCCTATTCATGACCATGTGCCTGGGCTGGGACAGGGTGGGGCTGTCCGGGATCCTTGAGGCAAATAGGAACCTGGGGTTAGGGATTGGGGCTTAGAGTTTAGGATTTTGGTGCCATGTCTGAACTAGTCTGAACTGTGTGGGAGTTTCCGAAAATAGGGAACCCTCATATAGTACCCCTCAAATAGTAGCATCCGCGTTATTAGGACACCAAAATAAGGTATACCCTTTTTTTCCGAAATTCCCATGTGGCCCTTTCCCGTGTTCTATGTTTATCTGGTATTTGGGCTGGTGGCTGTGGAATTGGAGGGTCTGTAAAGTTTAGCGTTTTTTGGGGACTTGGGATGGTTCTGGAAGTTGATGTACTTACCTTTGGTTAGTAGAGAATGCAGGAAGGTGTACACTTATAACTACTATTACTACCATTCTTCCATTCCCTACTGACCACAGGCAAGTGTAGCCAAAACTTCCATTTTAGGTTTCTGCTTTGGTATTGTGTACTCACGGAGTAGACCGTAGCAAGTCTTTTTCTGCAACTTGGCAAACCTTCCACCCGCAACCCGAAAGTTCGGCGGAGTTCCCGGGTCGGTTGTTCAGCTCTCCTTACCTTTGGTTAGTAGGGTTTTGGGGGCCATTATACTATAGTTCTAATAAGGAAGGAATAAGGCTTCTTACCTTTGGTTAGTAGGGAATGAAAGGGGCCTTATAAAGGGGTCTATAAGGGTTACTATAAGGGGTCTATAAGGGTTACTATTATATAGGAGCCTTGATTATCCTATAACTTACCTTTGGTTAGTAGGGAATGAAAGGGGTCTTACAAAGGGGGTCTATACGGGTTAGTATAAGGGATCTATGCAAGTACTGCAATATAGGGGCCTTGATAATCCTATAGCTTGCCTTTGGTTAGTAGGGAATGGAGGAGTGGGGTACAATTACAATTACTACTTCTTCTCCTACTACTACTACTACTACCACCACCATTCTTCCATTCCCTACTAACCAAAGGTAAGTCTTGTGATTCAGATCCGGGCTTCTGAGCTGCAGCACAGGTTTAAATGTGCTTGAAATATGGGCGTTTCCGAAAATTAGGGGTACCTTATTTTGGGGTCCTTATAATAAGGATCTTTTTATTTGGGGTACTATATTAGGGTCCCTATTTAATCGGAAACCCCCAGGTACATAACAAACTCTAAACCCTCGCTTGCAGACCCTACTCGATGGAACAACACACACACACACAACCACGCAGAGCAGGGCCTCGGAGGTTTTCAATCGCAACAGTCATGCCAAGGATGAGCAAGACTGAGGGTGCGAATGAACGGCACTGATGGCCCATGATGGCCGCGACACGTAAACCCTAAACCCTAATCCCGAAACCCGAAACCCTAAACCCGAAACCCTGAACCCTAAACCCGAAACCCTGAACCCTAAACCCGAAACCCTGAACCCTAAGCCCGAAACCCTAGACCCTAAACCCGAAACCCCAGGTTCGTGTATCCGGTGATCGTTGCCTGGACGTGGGGCTACGGCTTCCTTGCAACGGTCACGCGTACAGGCCACTTGCCACTGAGGGGCCTTTTGAAGTAGAGTAGGGTTTTGGGGCCCATTATACTATGTAAGCATTCTAGATTCCGGGTTTGGGTTTTAGGCTTTAGGGAGTACCTGGACCCTATGCCTCTGAGACAGCGGGGTTGTGTGCATGTTGTTTGCGCTTATTTCTGAGTCACCAGGAGCTTATACAAGTTCCTCCTAATCTCCAGGGTTTAGGGTTTGGGGTTTAGCTTGGTTCAGCAGTTTAGGGTACAGGTGCCTTAGAGGATTTGTTCTACATTTATATTAGAGTTTCTTGATGGGTTTTTTCAAGGGTTTTGTAAGGGTTCTGTCAGAGTTTATTTAGCTGTTCGCTCAAGCGTACAAATGGTCTCGTGTTGTGGCGTGCCCCCGAGACATGACAGAAACCTTGATCTGGTCTGCAGTTACCGCACGCCTGGTGAGGCCCTAGGCTTTGCTGTGCTTATGGGTTAAGTTCGTAGGATTTAAGTGCTGCGCTGGTAAACTCAATTTTTTTGGTGTGCGCACTTCCTAAATCTTTAAATGGAGCCCTAGTCGGCACGTTTGCGGAAGGTTGATGTATTCTGCTGGGAGCGGAATTGTACCCTAGTTTAGAGAAACCCTGGACCGCATCACCTAGCAGGACCCCACTATCCCTCGATAGATTTCACATCATCTTGATATAACAACCTCACAAGACCAGTGTGGCAAGGCCTAAACGGGCCTAAACCCTTAACCCCCGCAAAACTCTGATCATACACCCTCAACCCTATAAACCCTAACACCCTAGACCAGGCCCGAAGCCCAAGAGTGATCACCTCGCCCACCCGCCCATTAGCTTTGTAGGGTTGTCGCAAGTCTGTTTGGCAGAAGGGTGTTGTAAGGGATTTTCTTAGTTATCCAATACAAAACTTTTAAACTATCGCATACTAGTTTCTGTTGGGCATTTGGGAAGTAAGGCCGCCTCAAGTTCGCAAGCAAGGAGCAAGGACTATGTATTCAACCATAAACCCTAAACCGGAAATGTCCCTGCCCGTTGGTCGCCATGCTGACGTGTCCTACCGTAGAATGAGAAGTTTAGGGTTTCTGGACATCGCACTGTGTCTAACCTCGGCACATGTGTCACGTGCGGAGTATCACATTTGTTGAAGAGGTTAGGAATGTCGCGAGGGTGACGAAACCTGATTTACTTGAGCCGCTGCTTGCTGAACTCAGGTTTCATGGACTTCGCTGGCTCGGGGATCGTGCACATGAGCCTTACGCGGCAGTCAGCAGCTGCACATCACCATGCCCGAGCGCAGGCATGTTTCTTCTTCATGAAGCTTTGTGGTACACAGCTGTTGTCAAATGGGACTTTCCGAAAACAGGGGGTACCTTATTTTGGTGTCCTTATAATAAGGATCCTACTAGTTAGGGTGCTATATTCGGGTCCCCTATTTTCGGTAACTTCCAACTCGCTTTCAGTGTTCACTTGGCAGCAGATGCCTCGCTGGTGGTCGGCATTTGCAGATCTGGTGTACTGGAGTTGGGACGTTTTAGTCGAGTTGAGGTTCGGGATTAATCTGATGAAGGTTCACCGTTCAAGGGGGCTTGGTGTAAGCAGGGTGCGCAGCAATTTTTCTGCAGCGAAGCCTAATTTACGATCCCGCCGACATTGCATGAGAAAAGAAGGCCATGTCGTCGTCAATAAGTTTTAGAATTTTCCGGAAGAGTTGCGACGTCTGCGAGATTCCAGGCGAATTGGAGTTCAAGACATGTCAACTTTCAAGCCTGACATTCGTAGACCTAGGACAGACGAAGCCTGTGCCGAGTACCGTTTCGTTGTGTCCATCTTGCATACGGGATATACTCCTGTACATATGCCCTGAAGTCAACCAACAGTTCAGAGCCGCGTGCACTTTATGAGCTTCTGATCCATGAAGTGCGTACCAAATATCAGGACGGGTGGCGTTGCCGCCCTTGTGGGGGCCAGCGTAGCTGGGCCTCGCAGGGGACGTTGGGAGGAGCCGGAGGAGGCAAGATTGGATTGGTCACGGGAGTTGTCACGGAGTTGTATGTGTTTGCTCTTTGCGATTCGCTGATGTCGAAGTGTGGGTTGCGGTTTCTGCGATTTGGGGCTGATTATCTGGCCCTTTCACAGGACAAGCTTCGGTGTGGCAGGATTGCGATGGAACGCATTGGACAGGGAGGGAGATCTACCATAGTGCGAAGTCTAGGAAGTGTGCAAGCGTCTTGGGTTACTTGTGCTCGCATTTATGGTCCCGGACATGAGTCGGTGTGTCAGGGATTATGGATAATTCACCTCTTCCAAAGCTCAAAGGCTCTAGAGTTGCGAATATCTAGCGTCGGGCACCTACCGAGTTCATTTGCAGGCTTGCTGACCAGATTGTTGGATTGTTGGACCCTAAACCCTATACCCAATATTATGCGGTTGCAAGTTCCCTGCATGCTTTGTGACAGCAAGAGAGCGCCAGTCCCAAGGGTGCGTGGACGCCTGCTGAAAACATTGGTGTTGGGGTTGGGATTGGTGTTTGGGCTGGGATTGGGGTTTGGGCTGGGGTTGGGATTGGGGTTTGGGCTGGGGTTGTGTTGGCACTGCGGTGATGGTGTTGACGTTGATTTTGTTGTTGTTGTTGTTGTTGTTGTTGTTGTTGTTGTTGTTGTTGTTGATGAAAAAGCAGCGCAGGCCTTCCAGCCACACAGCCGCGCTGCAGCACGAAGTACCGGACTGTTCGAGCAAAGCTGCTTTACATGCTAAACCCTAAGCTCTGCAGCTCAAAATGCTCTGGGGCTTTAGGGCCTTGTATCCTTATCCTAACCAAACCTCTGAACCACCTAAACCCCAGGCCCCTTTCGGCGGTGTTGCTTTCCTCCAGCAACAACTATCGCAGGAAATCTAGACGTTTTTTTCGCGGTGAAATCTAGACGTTTTTTCGCGGTCAGTTCGAGGCCAATCGGCAGTTGACCTGAAGCTAAGCCCAAAGGGAGGTTGGCTACCCGGCTGAGAGCTCAGCGGGCATAACCCAGAAGAGTGCTCAAGTGACTTGAAGAGCAGACGTTGAGTGAACTGAGATCAGAAGTTCAGCTCTCTCTCTCTCTCTCTCTCTCTATCTCTCGCATTGAGATTGTCTTTCAGCATTCATTGACTTTGTGCTTGTCTTGAAAGGCACAGCTTGAGGTTTAGGGCTTAAAGTCGAAACAAACTGAGAAGATTTCTGTAGTTTTGCATCGCAGCTTGCGTAGGAGTTTGTATGGTCGTGTACAGTCATCATGTTGTGTATACTATACCGTGACGTTCGTGCCCAAGCCCTCTGAGTTAAAAGAGCCGTAGTCTCGCTCATGGCTTAACGGTTTTGGTGTATTCTATAGGTTATCAGCCGTATTCGCTGACTTTGTCTCCGTGGTATTCTTACACTGGTATTCACATTGGTACATGAGCACTTCGCCCTCTCTGCTCACTACTGAGAAGGGAGAAACAACCGAAGTATCATCGGACGAGATGGACGACGAAACAAGAGATCGACTGCTTGATGAACAACTTACAGCAGCTGGCGCGGGCCCTACGGCACCGAGCTCAGGATCCCAAGCACTTGATAGGATCTTCGGTCCAGTGGGTCCTACCCTATCTCCATTTGTCTCAAATCCAACGGTCGACATCTCAAACGTACAGTATACCTTGTACAATGTTGTGAACCAGGGTGAAACAGCCGAACAACAAAGAATGGCAATAGAGCGAACGGAGGCAGATGCTGAAAGAAGACACGCAAGCATTCTGAACCAACAATCGCATGATAATCTTGTGAGAATGGCTGGCATGGCTGAACAGGCCGAGCGCCTTCATGAGGTGAAGATGGCAGAATGCGAAGCACAGTTTGCGGAATTTGAGTTCAACGCATCCCAAAGGGAAAAGTTTTTGTTGAACGAAGTTGCAACATGCAGGAATGAAATGAACATTCTGGAATCAATTTTCCAACAACGACATCAGTCGGAAATCGCTAAGCTCAGAACTACTCTGATTGCTGAGAGCGAACGCAACAAAGCACAACATCTTGATTTTCTTGGAATGCGATTCAAACAAGTTCTTGAAGAAACCGAAGCGAGTATGGAACGGCGTTTCATTACTGAAATCGCTGAAATGAGTGCACAAAACGACAGACTGCAGGATGAACTGGCTGCCGCAGAACGAGCCCTAAGAATGGAAGCCAATGCGGACGAAGCGGGCAAACAATATGCCACGCCGAAGCCAGGACCTAATCCTGCTGTCCCGTTCTCAAATCCATTTGAGATTCCCGAGAATATGAAGGACATCTTCGGAAGAACGCCGCAAGCTCAGGAACCTCCGCAAGGAACTTCTGTACCACCTGGGTTTGAGAACAGAGAGCCACAAAAGGAAAAGTCTCCTAAAGCTGCCCAAGCGGGTAAGCCGGCGACTGTTGACCCAGAAGGGGTTCCACATGTTGATTTCGGAGCTGAGGCATTGATTAGGGCAGCACGCTTGCTTACCCCTAAGACCGAAGGTGAAGAGGGCAAACCAAAGGTGAAAGAAGCCGAAAGTATCAAGCTTCCCGATTACCCTAATCCAGAGACCTACCGATCGTGGCGGATCTCGGTCCGCGAGATTGTGCGGGCTGCGAGCGATCGCCCGGATGAGGCATTTCGCTGGGTGCAGGAAGTATATGATAAAGAGGCTACCCTCAAGTCCTTACATGACACTGGGAAATTCTTAACATTGGACACGAAGTTGTTGGCTGCACTTACCAGAGTCGCTAGAGGAGAGATTTCAAGGCAAGTCCTAAACTTCAAAGAAACAGAGGCCACAGGAGGACGTGCCGTCAGGGGAAGACAAGTATTGTGGATGTTTCATCAACACTTTAAGACTAATGAAGAAGTCGGAAGCCTCTATAGCGTAGAAGACCTTTTAAAAGTGAAGTTGGTTGGGGACGACTTGGCTACCTTCCTTTACAACTTCGAGTCGGTGATTGCTGGAATGAGTCATGTTCCGGATGAAGTTACCTTGAGGGACATTTTGCTGAGGGAAATTCGGAAATCCCACCACATCAAGTACGATCTTCAGCTGTACGACAGGGCAAAGGAAGGAAACCCCGTACACACGTATGAATTCCTCGTCAATGCCATTAGGGAGCATCTAACTAGAGAACGGATGCGTAAGAACCGTGACCGCATCGCTAAGTCGCATGGCGATAGATACGGGGCCCCAGCGTACGGATCTGAACGTCGCCCCTCTTCACGAGGAGGCCGTGGAAGAAGCATGTCCCGAAGTAGCTCAAAATCCAGAACAAGCAGCAAAGGATCGAGCCAACGAACACCGCCTAGATCTCAGAGTCCCAAAACACAACAGGTTTGTTACGACTTCCAGAAAGGAAAATGCACAAGAGGCGACAAGTGTAAGTTTCTCCACAAACCAAAGTCAAGATCCCCAAGTCCTCATCGAACGCCTCAGAAGAAGATCAACGCGATTTGCACCTTTTGGAAGAAAGGCAAGTGCAACAAAGGCAAAGACTGTAGGTTCCTGCATCAAGATAAGCCCAATCCAACTGACGCCGCTCCTACTGAGCAGGCCGCCCCTGCGAAGAACGATGAAAAGCCTAGGAGCCCGACCCCGGATCCTAAAGCAAAGAAGGAAAAGAAACAAAGGGGCAGGTCCAAGAGCAAGGAAAAGTCTGGCGGACGCACGGCAGCTTGTTGCATTTCGTATGCGCTGGCAGCTGTGCCCAATGGGCAAGGCGTTAAGGGTGATGCTTCAGGAACGTTCAAGAAATTAAGGTTCAAGGAGAAGCCAAGCATTCGGGAGATTCCATTGGATGGTAAGGGTAAGAAGCATAGGACCAAACCGCGAACTTTCGAAGTTTGTTACTTGGATGCTGAAAGCTGCCCAAAGCCTCCAGTTCAGGACCTAAGCACGGCCATAAGAACAGCGAACGAGCTTGCCAGGATCATGTCCTGTATGCTCAATGGGATTGAAAGCCACTGTGAGTACGAGTGCACAGATGACTGCGAAGAGGGTGAGATCCCAGTTGCAGTGTTGAAGTGCGAGCTGTGTTCTAGCGTGGAAAGAACAGCATGCTCTAGCTTTAATGCGGGATTAGAATTCCTCGCCGATACTGGCAGTGAAGAAGATCTGATCAGTAGGCACGATCACTCTATCTACTACCCAGAGGCTCCCATCGAAAACGCTAGTAGGCCGGTCAACTTGATTACAGCTAATGGTCCAGTTCAGGGAATCAAGTCAACCAACATCCCGATGCCTGAACTGAAGCAAAACATTGAGTGCTATCTACTGGAAAGCACGCCACCGGTGTGTTCTGTTGGGAGAAGATGCATGGACGATGGATATGATTTCCATTGGCCTGCGGGCAAGGTTCCATACTTTATAGCTCCCGATGGTAAAGTCATCAAGTGTAAGATGAAGGGTAGAGTCCCAGTGATCTCAAATGATGACTCGGTAGCGAGCCCAGCAAGCGCTGATGATTCCCAGAAATCTGCTGGAACTCAGGTGTTTAACGCCGGTACAGTCAAGGTTGAACTGGCGGCACCTGCGGAGGACGAATCTTCGGGTTTCCAGTAGAAAGCCGTCCGAGAGGACCGGCCGGGGATGAAAGAGTCGTCCACAGCGACTCCGAGATAGAAGAAGCAATCAATGCTGCACCGCCAATTGCAATCAAGCCTAAAGATTTAGCCAAGCCAGGTTGGATCACTAGCAGTGAAATTGCCGCATCAAAGATCATTATTGGTCATCGGCCAAAGGCTCTGCGAGTACCTGCACCTCGTCATCCAAGGTTCGTGCTAAGGACCACTTGGATCTACAAGGACTCTGCTTGGAGCAAGATTGAGGATTCTGTTGACATCAGAAGTCTAAGGGTTAAAAATCAAAAGATTGATGGATCGCCAATTCTGTCGATTACTGCTTTCAAAAGACCCGAGGACGACCCCTTAATCGAGCCCGATAGTGACAAGGAAGAAGATGAGGGAAAGGAAATCTCGCAAGAAGCCCGGCTTCGCGCCGAGGCCGAAAGCATCCATCATCAATTCTGCCATCGTCCTAAGAACCCATTCTGCAAAGTGTGCCAAAAGGCGAAGATGCTATCTCCCCAAGCTCGAAGAAAGGGGGGTCTTCGACCATACACAGTGAAAAGTATGGGGATCATGTTACCATTGATCATCTCGTGACAAGAGATCTGAGGGACTTTGGATTTCAGGATGAGAGGGTGGCGCTTGTTATCAAAGATGTGTTTTCGCAATTTAGGTATGTGTATCCTAGCGCAACAAAATCAACGGAACAAGTGCATGAGGACCTTCTGCACTTTTTCGGTACGCAAGACGAAGTTGGGGTTATCTACTCTGACAACGCGCCGGAGTTAGGAGCAGCTGTGAAGGAACTCCGATGTAGGCACAACACCTCTAGAGAGTACGTGGATGAAACTAAAGCCGTCATCGAACGGGAAATCCGCACCGTACTAGAGGGTACGCGCTCGAACTTGGAGCAAGCCGGTCTTCCAGAACGGTTTTGGCCTTTAGCAGCTCAGCACCACTCCATTGCGCTCAATCTCACAAAACGAGTGGATACTGGTGAAATCCCATGGGAGGCACGCTTTGGGGAATCCTTTGCGGGATTGATCGTTCCTTTCGGAGCTAAGGTCTTGTATTGGCATAACCCTAAACAGAATGTTCCGGAGACTTCCAA